ACGTGGGCGGTTCGACGCGATGCCAACGGATTCATCGACAGGGCACGTTTCAAATCCTCGTCGGAATCCGAAGGAGAACGATAAAGCACGCCACGGGAGTTGGCACCGCCGCGGTGCTCGTGTCCACCGCCGCCCCCTCCCCGCCTGCGTGGGCGCGGGTCCGCGGCACGCGATTCCCTTTAGTGCAGATCGCCGACGCTTCTGTCCGCTGATTGGTCAGGTCAGGAGGGGGCTGGAGCCTCTGGCTGGAGCTGGCCGGTGGCCCCGCGCCGCACTCCCGGGGGGCACGCGACGCGCCCCTCCCCGGCGCATGCCTCCGCGGCAGACGGCGGCGGCGCGGCGCAGGGCGCGCGTTCCCACGCCGAGGAGGGAGAAGCGGTTCCAGCCGAGGACGCCCGCGCCGCCGCGGCAGCTGAGCGCGCCGACGACGGCGACTTGGTCCGGACAGACCGTATGGTCTAGTGAGCACGACGTGGAGGAATGCAAGCAGCAGCAGCGGCGCGTCATGGGAGAGCGCGCGCCGACCCCCGGCAGCTCGCGCGTGCCGCGAGCAGGACGCGACGACGACGCGGTCCGCGGGCCTGGTGTCGCCAGCGCCAGCCGCAGTCTCCAACTCCAAATTGGCTCACCAGTCACTACGAAAAAGACAAACTAATAGTCACCGCGATTGTTTTCTTGGAATGCACGAACTTTAAACCAGCCTTCAACAAAAAGAATAAAAAATAAATACAAATGAAGTAATAAATATGATGAAAGTTTTGGAACAAGAAAGTGGATGTCATAAAAAGTACACATGCGACATTTCGCGAATAACAATTTAAATGTACTTCGAATGCTTTCTTTTAACCAAGTGTAAGATAAGTCGCGTTACTTTAATATCTCAGCGACCTTGATGAATCTCTGCATTTCCTTTCTGGAAATTATACCAACACCTGATTTTTCGTTACGATGGTGGTAGCCCTGATCGAGCCAACTGTCGCTCGCCCTCTAGATGGCCAGTCTAGTTTCCGCCGCCGCGCCGGAGCGAAGTGTGATGGAAGTGTCTTACCCGTTCGTGTGGTTGTGTTTCAAGTGTTTGTCTATACCGTGAATTCTTGTCAAAGAATTGACGTTTATGTTCATCAATTGTGAAACAAGACATTCTGATCTACAAGTTGGCATAAAGCACCGACCCAGGAGAGAGACGCAGTAATTTGCAGGTTAGTCTTCACGGTGATCATACATCCTAACCTACGTCAGCGGCCCGCCGCCTGTCTATCTGTACACTATTTTGGTTCGTATACCTTGTGTCGCGTGCGTCGCTGAATCCATTTGTCTTCTGCTCGTGTCAACTTGCTGCCGGTGGCCGTGAGATTGTTGACGATTCTGCTAATTATTCCCGTCTTGTCGTGTCTGATACGTGGTGGGGCCGCCGTGGCCGGGCGCAGCCGGCATGGCGCAGCAGGCGCACGGTCGCCAGACCAAGCGCACGCCTTTCGCCCAAACCAGAAAGTGGAAAGTTATTGGGCCGATCAGTCATCGCGGGGGTTAATTGCCGCGGCTCTTCTCTTCTGCGAAACCGATTTACTATCGATTTTGTGCGGTTGTGCGGAAAAGCACGGCCGGAGCCGCGGGCGGCCAAACGCCTGCGCCGGCGGCGGCGGGCTGGCCATCAACTTGTGGCCCGGCGGCGGTCAGACTGGTTGGTGGGCAGGGGGCGGGCAGGGGCGGATGGGCCTCTGGCCCCCGGGGCGGACACGGGCCGCGCGGCGGGGCCCGCGAATATAGACCAGGGCCGCGAGCCGGTGGTGGCCGGAGCCACCGTTCGGCGGCGGGGCAGTTTGGTCGCCGCAGTCTGCCGATGACTCAGTCGTGTTTTCACCAAAATAATATATTGGACCGGCGCAAACGGCCCGGGGTCAGCGATCTCGGGTATGGTCAAGTGTGTGTCGTCGCCGCTGGCGCGGTCAGGGAGGGCCCAGCCCCGCGTCAGCGTGCCGGCCTCATGTGCGCCTCCCGGGGCCGCCCCGGGCGAGATCATATCGGCCCCCGTCCCCAACGGAGCGTGCAACGAGTGCGGCGGCGGCACGGCCCGGGCGGGGTGGGTATGGAGCACACGGAGTACACCACCACGGTCTTCATGGGAAGTGCTCCCAACAGGTGTCCTCGCGTCACGCTGCGTGCGCTCGCGGGGCTCCCCCCCCCCCCCCTCCCTCGGCATGTTTCCTCCTCATCCTCCGCGTGCAAGCGTGGCGTATTTTTATCCCCGACCGAAGCATCGAAGCAGCGGGTGGCGTTGATTTTCATGAAATGTTTCTTCTCCTCTTTAGGATAAAAAGAGCGGGGAAAATAGAAATCCCCTCACGAGGTGACAGCGTGTCCCACCCACCACGTAGAGCGCGCGGACCACCCCAAGCAGCCCCTTTGCGCCCGTCGCTGGAAATGACTTGGTGCTTCTGCTGATAAAGGATTCTCGAAATTAAGAATGCGATTCAGGACACAACAAACGCCCCTGTGATGGGGAGGGCCCGGACGACGCCCGACCACCGGGGGGACCGCTACGCCAAGGCAAGCGCTTCCGCCGCGCGGGGCCGAGGCCCGGGTCGGGGTCGGCGGGGGCCCCGCACTATCCCACATTTGACTCGACGGGTATGCACATTTTTTACCCCGACGCGCCCCCCACACTTCACCGCTGCTGTCGCCTTGCATTGTCCCCGCTTCCCGCACCTCCTGCGCGCCTTTCAAGAAGCACAGATTCCTCCTGCTGTATCGCGCGCCCATCCTTCCCCTTTCCATATTATCCCCCTCCCTCCCCCGACACTTTTCCGTCCCGTCCGTAATATTTCTTTTTATCGTGATATTATTATGTGAAGGGGCGGGGGGCTGGGCGGCCGCCGCCGCCGGCAACCTGTAGCTCTGCGTCCGTGGTGTATTGGACGCGGCTGCCGGGCATAAGCGCTGCCCCCCGCCGCCTCCCCTCCCTCCGCGTCCGCCTGCCTGGACGCCCGTCCCGCCGAGGAGCCCCTTTCCCACACTGGCGGCCTGCACCTGCCAGCTCGGCCCTCCGCCCCGCGGCCCCTCTCTGGTCCATTGTGGTGGCCATCGGACGAGGGACGGCAGGAAATGCATTTTGGGTCCCGATATGGAAGTCATCTCGCCGCTGCTGGGCCGGGGGCATCATCGGCTCCAGGGGTGGGCCTGTCGTCCTGGTGGCGGGCCCGGCTGGACCGAGCTCCGATGCTTCCCCTCTCGCTCGGCCCGCCCGCCCCAAACCACCGCGGCCGCGAACGTGACCGGAAACAAGCGACCGCCACCAAACATATAACGGCCGCGCCAAAAAGACTCTATCGCGACACGTTTCAAAGAGGTGATTTGGCGAGGATTTTCGATGCCCTTTTCCGAAATCTAAATCCCTGCGAATGGGCCCCGCTGTAGCGATAGCTTGCGGTGTGCGCGCTTCTCACCGATTCTGTTCGGTCGATAGCGCGGCGCGCGGCCGCGCGGGGCAGCAGCGGCGGCGGCGGTGGCTATGGTCGTTGGACGGGGCGATGTTGATGGGGGTGAGGATGGGTGCCAGCGGCGGCGGTGGCGGCGATGAGGCTCCCCATTCACTCACTCTCCGTTCCCCATTCGGAGTCCGTTCGGTTATATCATTTCCTCTGGGCGGCGGCCCCCCGGCAGACGAGCTCACCGCCACGCTACGCCACGCCACAAGCCACAACGCAATTATCAAACGATTGGTAGCGGCGGTGCGGACCCTGCGGACCAATTTGTGGCTTATTGGGGAAGGCCTGGTGCAGCGCGGCGGGGCGGGGCGGGCGTGTGCAGCGTCACGGGGCGGGACAGGCGGGTACTACCGGGAAACGCGGTACGGGAAAAGGGGGAAACCGCGTTGCTGCGGCTTTTCTCCTCCTGTGCCGCGGCGGCGCGGGCGGCGGGCCTTTGATGAGACACAATTCAATCTCGTCGGAAAAGCAAAGCGGTACGCGGTTTGTGCCGATCCCGACACGTGGTGCGGAAAGTGTGGTGAGTGCTGTGCGCTGTCGTCGCTCGGCGGAGTGTGGAAGGGTTGACCGCAAAGAGACCGCGCCGTTGTGCCACGGGCGAATATGCGTCATGCTCGCAAACACTGTTCAAAGAGTACCGATCGAACTCCGCATTCTTTTTTTAACATCATTTTGTTCTGATTTTCTGCATTTGCCACTTGCTATATTGCTGTAGGGGAAGTAGCGTTGTTCAACAGCGCAGAGGCGGCGCTTTGTCGTGGCGTCATGGGCCGAGCGTCTCGTGGCGGTGGCGGGGCGTAGCGCTGTGACGCCGACAAGCACATGGCACGCGAGGCGACGTGAGTTCACGACTTGTGCCGTCCATGACAACATGACGTCATCAACGGGTCCAAACGAAATCGCACTAGGCAGAAACAGCGGGACTGAGTAATTGATTTGCTTCGTCATTGTCATTGTTTCTATCTCGAAGTAGATTCAATTCAAACAAGAAGAAGCTGTGATTGATTACTCGGTTCATTTTCTGTGTTCAATTAAACCCTATCGAGTGAGTCGTGAGTTTGAATAAGATGAGCTCCGCGATCGGACTCTACCCGGCCCGCGCCTCGCCTCGAACTTCCCCCCAGTCCTCGAGCTTGTCCGATTTTCCGACAGAGTCCGCCTGTAGCGAGCCGGACAGTGGCGCTGCGAGTGCAGCGGCCGCGTGGCGGCAGGGCGAACTTGGTGGCAGCACGCGCTTGGCGCGCTCGCGCGAACACGTGCTCGTTGCTCGGCTGCTCGGCTCGCAAGGTCTCGGCCAGCGACTGCAGCGCTTCTCACCCCCTCACTCTTTGCGGGGAACGTTTGAACTACGTTTGAGCTTGTCTCAACAGGTTTTCTTCAGTGCACCCTGGGGCCAAGTGTTTCAGTTGATTTTCTGATTGTGTCTTTCAATAGATTTCATACTTGTGTCGTTTGTTGTGTGTTGCTCTTTTTTTCATTTCAATTGCGGGTATTAGGAGAATGATAAAAATAGGATAAAGTTCATTCATTTTTAATTGTAAAAAATGAGGAAAAAATATTCAAATCAACATATTCACTGGCAAGGCACTTAAAATATGTGCAAACAATAAAGCTTTCTACCATCACAGTTTCAAAATAAAACTACTCAATATCACATAAATCATTGTGATTTATAAACAAATTGAGCGAACGAAACTCAGTCGATAAAATGTACAAAATTACTGACACTTGTGCGATTTCTGCGACGAAAGTACTGCACATCAAGTGCAATCATTCAAAACTTAAGAAACATAACGCTGCTTAAAGTAAAGCTATGTATCACTTCAACGGACAAACAATTTAAAATCAATCATGTCTCTGCGTCCTTGAATCCTTCTTACTTAACTATGAGATCACAAGAGGCTGCTGATTTCATAACTTTCACAACAATAACTCTCAACATCAATAAAACTTCGCAAAACGTATCGGACCCGTGAAATTTATGGCAGTTATACGCGGATCCTTTACTATAAAACGAAAATACCTAACCACCTAATTAAAGCTCCAAATCACCTGCCTACGGCTTGAAAACGGCAACCAGAAAGAAACTGGTTATTTTTAAAAACATATTCTAAACTGATACAGTTTAAATTCGGCACGCACGCGGATTAACCACATACAAAACACATTTCACTGATATTTCACTGATGTCGGGCGGCAGAGCGCCGACATTTTGAGCAACTCACATAAAAACAGTCACATCGGATCACTTTTTAATCACTGTTGATCAGGCTTAGCAAGCGCAGGGAGTGCAGTCGCCGCAGGTGGTGAATGGAGAGTAGGTATCGCAGGATTGGAAGGGAGCTTGTACTTCGGCAACCTGGTTCTCGGTGATGTAGGGGGTCGCGTCGCTGCAGCACAAGTCGCTGTCGGCGTTCATTGGGGTCCAGCAGAAGCCATTGACGGCCTCCTGGTCGATGACGAAGTGCACGGGGATGACCTGGGGCTGGCCGGGCACGATGGGAATCTCGACGACCTGGCCGCCGACCCAGACTTGGATGGAAGCGCCCTTGGGGTGAGCGAGCTCGTCCAGGAGGCGAGATTCGAGGGCCTCGTTGGCGGCGTTGTCGGAGTCCACGTCAGAGTCCTGGGCCCAGCAGCAGTGGTCGGCCTCGGCCTTGTAGTAGTAGGACTTGTCGTTGCGTCCACGCACCAGGGAAAGCACAGGCTTAAGCATCTGAACAAAACAAAAAGAACAAGTCTGTTAGCATCGGCATTCCAAAAGACACAAGTGCGGAGAGCAAAGTTTGAAATTTTTTCTAAGTTTGAATCAGGTTGATCCGACACCTACCTTTTTGAGCTTGTGGATTTTGCGGTCCAGCGCGGAGCGGCGTTGCTGCCGCTTGGCCGCGGAGGCGAGGAAGCTGCGGTAGCAGTTGCTGATGTTTTCGTTGTGGCACATGGTATCCATGACGGCGGCAGACATGTTGCACTGAGCTCGACTCGACTCGAGTAAGGATGAGAGAGGGCTAGAAAGCGAGCAGAGCGACACGAAGTGAGCTCAGGAGAGATCGTCGACTGACTGTGCCTGCTCGCCGGCCGGGAGCCTTTTTATAGTTTCGAGGGACGCCGGCGGGCCGCCGAGGCTGGCGAGGGAGGCTGTGGGTGGTGGTGGGGGCCGACGCCGGGCCTTCGGGCGCGCTTCGGGCCGGGCTCGGCGGCGCGCTCGGCCGGCTCGTGGCAGGTGTGCGCTGCGCCGGGGTGCGCGCGGGGGTGGTGCGGGGG